AGATAGATAGATAGATAGATAGATAGATAGATAGATAGATAGATAGATCGATAGATAGATAGATAGATAGATAGATAGATAGATAGGGATGGATAGATAGATAGATATGGATGGATGGATAGATAGATAGATAGATAGATAGATAGATAGATAGATAGATAGATAGATAGATAGATAGATAGATAGATAGATAGATAGATAGGGATGGATGGATGGATAGATAGATAGATAGATAGATAGATAGATAGATAGATAGATAGATAGATAGATAGATATTCCCACGTGCCATTACAATGATTTAATGATCATACTTTCATACATTTAATTTAAAAGTAGCTTTAAAATTCCCATTTTGAATTTACAGTAATGCCCGATGATGTGTCCTTTTAGATACAAAGAAGCTGTTTTGGCCTATGAAAACGCAAAGCAGTGGGACAACGTGATCCGGTTGTATTTGGATCACCTGAATGATCCAGAAAAAGCTGTCAGCATCGTCCGGGAAACCCAGTCTCTTGAGGGAGCCAAGATGGTAGCCAGGTAATTGAGTGATAATTTGGTTATATTTGTATAGAATAGAATTAGAGTAGAGTAGAGTCGAATAGAATAGAATAGAAATAGAATAGAATAGAATAGAATAGAATAGAATAGAATAGAATAGAATAGAATAGTAGAATAAGGAATAGAATAGAATAGAATAGAATTAGAGAAAATAGAATAGAATAGAATTAGAGAAAATAGAATAGAGATAGAAATAGAATAGAATGGAATAGAATAGAATAGGAGAAAATAGAATAGAATAGGAGAAAATAGAATAGAAATAGAATAGAATTAGAGAAAATAGAATAGAATAGAATTAGAGAAAATAGAAATAGAATAGAATAGAATTAGAGAAAATAGAATAGAAATAGAATAGAATAGAATAGAATAGTAGAATAAGGAATAGAATAGAATAGAATTAGAGAAAATAGAATAGAATTAGAGAAAATAGAATAGAGATAGAAATAGAATAGAATGGAATAGAATAGAATTAGAGAAAATAGAATAGAATAGGAAAAAAATAGAATAGAATAGAATTAGAGAAAATAGAATAGAATTAGAGAAAATAGAATAGAATAGGAGAAAATAGAATAGAAGAGAATAGAATTAGAGAAAATAGAATAGAATAGAATTAGAGAAAATAGAATTGAATAGAATTAGAGAAAATAGAAATAGAAATAGAAATAGAATAGAATAGAATAGAATAGAATAGAATAGAATAGAATAGGATAAAATTGAGTGGATTATTTAAAAAATTAATAGGTCTAGGAATATCTAAATTAATGATTTAATAGATTTAGGAATATAACAAAATTAAATGTGTGGAGATACATTAGACTGACTTGAATACATGAATGAATGACTGAATGAATGAATGAATGAATGACTGAATGAATGAATGAATGAATGAATGAATGAATGAATGAATGAAGGCATGCATGCTGTGTTCTCCTTTCCCTACCTTATATTCCCAGGGAGTTAAGATGAAGTCAAGCTTGAGCTTCTAATGTCGTCTTTAACTCCCATGCTTAAAATATCTTTTGGTAAATGTCACTACCTGTAAGGTCATCACTGTGGATTTCCAGAAAAGCCCCAACACGTTTATTTCCTAATATCATTGCAGGAATAATTTTCAGGATTAATTGAGTCTCCCCCAGTGTGTGTCTCGTGTGAGTCTTTGTGTCAAAAAGTCAAGACAGTGGCTGTGGCCTCAAAGTCAAAGTGCTACTTCTTTTTTGCATCGTAGCAGGACTTTGATCGCATCGTCACCACTCTCCTCCTGACTTTTTTGACATAACTGATGTCAAAGATGGTTCAACTCTCTGTTCCACAGAACGCAGAGCCCTGTTTATTTGGAACAACTAACACATTCACAACTGCCGCCCACTTGGTTTTCATCCTTTTTCATGCTGGGCATGATGCTGCCTTATTTGTGCCTTATTTAGAGGGGGGGGGACCTAAATTCATATTTAAGCACAGTCCAGGGGTATATTCCCCCCCTCCCGTTGAGAAACATATCTGGGATGATTGGAATAGGTCTGACTGCCATTTTCACAAGCTAAAAAGCAATTAACCCACGAATCTTTGGCTGTCTTTGCTGTTGATAATTTTGTGAGTTCTTGCTGTCAGCAAAACTCGGCAACAAGAGTATTCCTCTGGGTTTTTTTTTTAATAGAGAGATAATCTACAAGGCACGTTTTGTCTTAAATTGTGGAGCCCTGGGCAGCCTCTAGAGATGTTACGCTGATTTAATAATGATAATAAAAATGATAGGTTTAGAGAGGTGAGAAAAACTCTTCTGCGGTGGCGTTTATTTTTGCATTCAAATTTTGCGCCTTCTTTTTTTTTTTGAATTGCTACCTCGACTGCTTGGGAATCGTAAAGCTTTGGGATTCTGTTCACTTTTCCTTTTTTTAAAAAAACAACAACGAAGCCTTTATTTTTCTCAGATTCTTCCTGCAGCTGGGTGATTACGAGTCTGCCATCCAGTTTTTAGTGATGTCCAAGTGTAACAACGAAGCTTTCGTCCTGGCCCAGCAACACAATAAGATGGAGCTGTATGCCGACATCATCAGTGAGTCTTGCAGCCTATAATTCTACACAGCAGGTAGAAGAAGAAGCAAGGGGGACACATTTTATTTATTGATTAACTTTAGTTGTCGCCTATATTTGCCCTGGGGCTGCTCTAGGCGACTTGCAACAGATTGCAAGACAGGCACAACCATGTCATTGTTGCGCGAGATATTGAGAGCCAGGTATGGGCCGGCAACATTTCTGTGATGATGTCCTTGTGCACTTATCACGTTGGTATTGTCTCAGTATGTTTGCAGGTATCCTGGTTCAAAAGTTTTAGCGGTAAATTAGCTTTTAACTTGACTGCAATGCATAATAATAATAATAATAATAATAATAATAATAATAATAATAATAATAATAGAGTTGGAAGGGACCTTGGAGATCGTCTAGTCCAGTGGTTCTCAACCTTTTTAATGCCGCGACCCCAACCGGTCATAAGTCGAGGACTAAACTGGTCGTAAGTCGAGGACTAAACCGCTCGTAGGTCGAGGACTACCCAACCGGTCGTAAGTCGAGGACTTTCCCTGCCCAGGAGCACCGCGCATGCGTGGTTCCGCCCACTGCGCCGGCCGAGGCGTAGCTGGCAAGCGGCAGAGACAGAGCAGGCCGACCACCAGCTGGCCCAGCCCAAGGGAGGTAAGGCAACCGCCGGAAAAGGGGGAAAAAATGGTGGACAAAAAAAATGGCAGACAAAAAAAATGGCGGACAACCTTGCTTGGCGACCCCCGTGAAATGGTCGATCGACCCCAAATGGGGTCCCGACCCACAGGTTGAGAACCACTGGTCTAGTCCAACCCCCTGCTCAGGCAGGAAACCCTATACCATGTCAGACAAATGGTTGTACAATCTTTTCTTAAAAACTTCCAGTGTTGGAGCATTCACCGCTTCTGGTGGCAGGTTGTTCCACTGGTTAATTGTTCTCACTGTCAGGAAGGGGGCTGCTGTTGAAAATTTACTGGGTACCTTTTAAAGGTAGGCGATTTTAATTACGGGCAGTCCTCAGCTTACGACCACAATTGAGCCCAAAATTTCTGTTGCTAAGTGAGACGTTTGTTTAAATAAATTTTGCCCCGTTTTATGACCTTCCTTGCCACTGTCGTTATGCGAATCACTGCAGTTGTTAAGTTAGCAACATGGTTAAGTGAATCTGGCTTCCCCCATTGTCTTTGCTTGTCAGAAGGCTGTAAAAAGGGGATCACGTGACCCCGGGGACACCACAACTGTCATAAATACGAGTCAGTGGCCAAGTGTCTGAATTTTGACCACGTGACCCTGGGGATGCTGCAACGGTCGTAGGTGTGAAACATGGTCATAAGTCCCTTTTTTCCAGTGCCTTTGCAACTTCGGTCACTAAACGAACGGTTGTAAGTCGAGGACTACGGGTATGCGTAACGCTCAGTTACTTCCTAACATTTTGCTAGGAAGCACAGCACAACTTAACTCATCAAGTTTAACTCATCACATTTAAGTTTTCCTTAAATTCTCTGGTAAATTCTATCCTATTATAATAGAAATTGTAAAGCTAGCGGTTCCTTCACATTTTGTTTTTTTTTGTAAATGATTCTTTATTAATGCTTGGAGACTTCTGCTGATTTTTGCCTCCCTTCCCAAACATTTCTAATCCCCTGTGAAAAGGCATATTTTCAGAGCCTAACTCAGGGGTAGGCAACCTTGGCTCTTTTATGACTCGTGGACTTCAACTCCCAGAATTCCTGAGCCAGCCATGCTGAGGGAAAAGGGAGAGGTTTCCATGCTTAGCCATGCTGGCTCAGGAATTCTGGGAGTTGAAGTCCATGAGTCATGAGGGGACCATAGTTCCCCCATGCTGGCTCAGGAATTCTGGGAGTTGAAGTCCACCAGTCACAAAAGAGCCAAGGTTGCCTACCCCTGACCTAGAGGAACATGTGAAAGCATAATTAATGTTAATTAATGTAGACTTTATTAGTTTAGAGCAGGGGTAGGCAATCTTGGCTCTTTTATGACTCGTGGACTTCAACTCCCAGAATTCCTGAGCCAGCCACGCTGAGGGGACAGGGAGAGGTTTCCAAGCTGAGCTATGCTGGCTCAGGAATTCTGGGAGCTGAAGTCCACAAGTCATAAAAGAGCCAAGGTTGCCTACCCCTGACCTAGAGGAACATTAATGTTAATTAATAATATTAATTAATAATAATTAATGTTAGTTAATGTAGACTTTATTAGTTTAGAGCAGGGGTAGTCAACCTTGGCTCTTTTATGACTGGTGGACTTCAACTCCCAGAATTCCTGAGCCAGCCATGCTGAGGGGAAAGGGAGAGGTTTCCAAGCTGAGCCATGCCAGCTCAGGAATTCTGGGAGTTGAAGTCCACGAGTCATAAAAGAGCCAAGGTTGCCTACCCCTGGCCTAGGAGGTGAAATTGGTGTGTGTAAGACCTTGTAAGTCTCGCTTGTTGAGTGTTGTTCCATTCAGGGGAAGAAAGAGAAATGTTCTTTTTGCTTCTCTCCCATTCCAGGTTCTGAAGAAACCTCTAACGATGACTACCAAAGCATCGCCTTGTATTTTGAGGGAGAAAAGAAGCATTTTCAGGCTGGCAAATTCTTCCTGCTCTGTGGCCAATATTCCAGGGTCAGTACGACCTTACTAAATCGGATCAAATCTCCTGAGAATTCTGGAGGACCATCCCTCAATATCGCTTTTCTCTGTTTTGAGGGGAATTGGGTGGGATTCTCTTTGCGTGTAGGGCTAGGAGAAGCTTGAGCAATAGCGTTTAGACTTATATACCGCTTCGTAGTGTTTTACAGCCCTCTCTAAGCAGTTTACAGAGACAGCCTGTTGCCCTCTGCAGTGGGCAGAGTGGAAGGAAGGAAGGAAGGGGGAGGGAGGGATGGAGGGAGGAAGAAAGAGAGGGAGGGAGGGAATAGGCATTTAAGACTTATATACCGCTTCATAGTGTTTTACAGCCCACTCTAAGCGGTTTACAGAGTCAGACTGTTGCCCTTTGCAGAGGACAGAGTTATGGAAGGAAGGAAGGAAGGAAGGAAGGAAAGAAGGAAGGAAGGAAGGAAGGAAGGAAGGAAGGAAGGAAGGAAGGAAGGAAGGAAGGGGGAAGGGAGGGAGGGAATAGCAATAGCACTTAAGACTTATATACCGCTTCATAGTGTTTTACAGCCTTCTCTAAGCGGTTTACAAAGCCTGTTGCCCTCTGCTGTGGGCAGAGTTATGGAAGGGAGGGAGGGAGGGAGGGAGGGAGGCAGGAAGGAAGGAAGGGAGGGAGAAAGGGAGGGAGGGAATAGCAATAGCACTTAAGACTTATATACCGCTTCATAGGAATTTAAAGATTAGTGTAATGTTTGGGCTAACCTGTTGACTTTTTATATACAGTATATATATATATACACACACACACTATGATCAGATGTTGGGTTGATTTGATTATCAGATAGAGATCCTCTCACCTAGAATATTTGTTTATTTAATATAGTATTTTTGTTAAAGTGGGGTGGAAAAGCTTATTACTATTTGTAGCTCTGTTATGCAAAGGGGAGGAGAATTTATCAGTTTTTCTTATTATTTTTTTCTCAGCATGTAGCCAAGGTGGATTCTGTATAAATAATGTTAAATTTATTTGATATTTGGGTTGTTTTTTCCCCCCTTTCTTGTACCCATGTTTTTCTTTTTATGTTGTTGTCGTTAGCGTAGGATGTATATTTTTCTGGGGTTTTTTTGTTTCGCATTTTATTCTTGTTGATAAAACAAAACAAATATATATATATGTAAAAGTGTTTCTTCTAGTGGAAAACGTAACACCACACACAATTCTAATCTCTTGTTTCTATTATTCTAATTTGCTATAAAGGTATTATTGATTACGTGAAGGGAAGATGTGGGGGAAATAAGTTATTAGGCATTTAATGGTGTGTGGTCTCTTTTCCAGGCGCTGAAGCACTTTCTGAAAAGTCCCAATACAGATGATAATATGGCCATAGACATGGCAATAGAGACGGTAAGATAAATGACATTTAGAAAGAAGAAATGCATCTGACCTTTTTTTTTAAATTTAAAATTCAATGCCACCGCTAAAGTAAATTGTAATGTAATGTAACCTTATATTTTACAACAACTTTTACAGTTTCAGAACCAAAATTTATACTGGTTATTTTCAATATGCAACAAACAGAAGGCTCCCTCCTGGTGAATTATTTGTAAAAAGTCCTCAGTTGGAAGGGAACTTGGAGGTCATCTAGTCCACCTCCACCCCCCCTTGCTCAGGCAGGAAACCCTATGCCATTTCAGACAAATGGCTATCCAGTCTCTTCTTAAAAACTTCCAGTGTTGGAGCATTCACAGCTTCTGGAGGCAGGTTGTTTAGAAGTTGTGAATGCTCCAACACTGGAATGTATAAAAGTCGACTCTCCGTTATTTTCCCCTGCATTGTGTGATGTTCTATTCGCTTGTTTTCGGAGCAGGTGGGCCAAGCAAAGGATGAAGCCCTGACTGACCAGCTGATAAATTACCTTATGGGTGAGAATGATGGCATACCAAAGGTACGGCATTCCAGGCAGAACTTGTAATCTTTTTTTTTTCCAGCTATATCTGCAGCATGTTTAATTTTTACAAAATAGTTTACTGGCGAGTAAAGTCACTTCAACGTTCTAAACAAAGCTGTGTCACCCTAGCCTAGAGCACCAGAAGGGCTGAGCCAGCAGAGCAAAAGATGACACAGGGAAAATTAGCATAGGTTGAGCCTTTGTTGTAATATTTACAGTGCATTCCTACAATAGGAATATTTGGAATTGTTGTTAGTTGCGAAGTCATGTCTGACCCATCGCGACCCCATCGACAACGTTCCTCCAGGCCTTCCTGTCCTCTACCATCTTCTGGAGTCCATTGAAGCTCACGCCTCCTGCTTCAGTGACTCCATCCAGCCACCTCATTCTCTGTCGTCCCCTTCTTCTCTTGCCCTCCATCTTTCCCAGCATCAGGCTCTTCTCCAGTGAGTCCTTCCTTCTCATTAGGTGGCCAAAGAACTTGAGTTTCAACTTCAGGATCTGCCCTTCTAAAGAGCAGTCAGGGTTGATCTCCTCTAGGACTGACCGGTTGGATCGCCTTGCAGTCCAGGGGACTGGCAGGAGTCTTCTCCAGCACCAGAGTTCAAAGGCCTCCATTCTTTGGCACTCAGCCTTTACTGTACTTTTATTTATTTTTAATATTGATAGTTCATCGTTTTTGTTTGCAGCAGTCCATGGGCCTCTCTAGATAAATGTTGATATTAACAGGAAAGACAATAACTTTTAACACAAGTACAGCTAAGGACAATCTCAATCTATTTTGTCTGGCTGGGGAATTCTGGGAGTTGAAGTCCACAGGTCTTAAAAGTTGCCAGAGTTGGACACCTCTGATCTGAAAACTGAACTATGGATGCTGTGGCTTTTTTAAAAAATAAATAAATAAATCCCTTCCTCTTATATACCATACAGAAATAACATTGAATTTGGCTCAAATGATGACACGATCCACAGACAAATTGCATATTCCCTCTCCCAGTGCAGTAAACAGCCCCTGCCTATAGTTTGAAACAAATAACTATTTTTAAAGGCTGCGTTGTGTTAATCTAATTTAATCTCGATCGTTGTATGTTTTATTTTATTTTTCCTGCCAGTTGTTTTGTTTTCTTACCCAAACCTCGTTTTGTTTTTCTAATCGCTTTACTGTAACTTCTGTAGTCTGTTTCTGTGAGTATGTTTACTTTAATTATTCTAAACCGTGATAGTCGTTACTTCATGTCTGAAAAAAATTCCCTGGGCCTGTGTGTTGTAGAGCCTCTGAATTCATGACACCTTCCTCCCAAATGTGCTGCCCCTGTTTGACACAAATAGCGGGCAAACATCTGGACCCAAAGCCTGAAGCTTTTTAAAGAGACTTCATTAAGCTAGAACTGAGCTACTGTCAGTAATTTTCATAGCAATATGTATTTAGATCACGGTTAGTTCAGTTAGCTGTAGAGACCAAGGGTGATGAACTTAACAGAAATACGCCGAGTCAGTTGTTAGCCAAAGAGAGATCAAATATTCTTTGAAACAGTCCCAGAAAACAAGATAATCTTTGGAAACATCACAGGGATATAAGAAAAAGGAGAACACAAAGAGACTTGCAGGATTCTCCTACAGCTCTAAATTAAATAGGGAACTCTTATCTTTGTGAAGTCGGGCTGCAAAAACATTGAGATCAAATATTCAAATAAGACTATAAAATGAGAGCAGACCCCCCCTCCCTTCTAACATCACTCTCATGGCGTTGCTTAGTTTGGTAATGAAACGTCTGCAAGAAAACAACCAAGCTCAGAGAGCACCAAGGACCCCTCATTTTTTAAAAAATTTATGATGTTTGCAGATTGCAAAATCGCTTGACGATGCTGCACTATGTTCATATTATATTTGTCAAGAGAGAATAGAATAGAATAGAAATAGAAGAGAAGAGAAGAGTGAATGGGAATAGAATAGAATAGAATAGAATAGAATAGAATAGAATAGAATAGAATAGAATAGAATAGAAGAATGGGAATGAAATAATGGAATGGAATGGAAGAGAAGAGAAGAGAAGAGAATAGAAGAGAACAGAAGAGAACAGAAGAGAATAAAATAATGGGAATGAAAGAATGGAATGGAATAGAATAGAATAGAATAATAGGAATAGGAATAAAAATAGAGATAGAGATAGAAATAGAGATGAGATGAGATAGAAAATATAGAATAGAATAGAAAATAGAATAGAATAGAATAGGAATAGGAATAGGAATAAAAATAGAAATAGAGATGAAATGAAATAGAGAATAGAATAGAATAGAATAGAATAGAATAGAATAGAATAGAATAGAATAGAATAGAATAGAATAGAATAATAGGAATAGGAATAAAAATAGAGATAGAGATAGAGATAGAAATAGAGATGAGATGAGATAGAAAATATAGAATGGAATGGAATGGAATGGAATAGAATAATAGGAATAGGAATAAAAATAGAAATAGAAATAGAAATAGAGATGAAATGAGATAGAGATAGAATAGAATAGAATAGAATAGAATAGAATCAGAATAGAATAGAATCAGAATAGAATAAAATAGAATAACAGAGTTGGAAGGGACCTTGGAGGTCCTCCAGTCCAACCCCCCGCTCAGACAGGAAGCCCTTTACCATTTCAGACAAATGGCTGTCCAGTCTCTTCTTAAAAACCTCCAGTGTTGGAGCATCCACAACCTGGAGGCAAATCATTCCACTGATTAATTGTTCTAACTGTCAGGAAATTTCTTCTTAATTCTGAGTTGCTTCTGTCCTTGATTAGTTTCCAAATTTGTCAGTTACGCGCCTTTTTGTTTTCACCTTGCCAGGGGGGTGGGGGGAAGGAAAGATGATGCTTCGAATGGATTACTTAGAGAAACAAAACCTCTCCAGTTCCGCGGAAAGTTGACGGTAGAGCCATCGGTGGTTTTTAAAAGCTAATTGCGTCATTAAAAACGTCGCACGGCGCCATTGCTCGCTGCGCACTTAGCCTGAACAAATGCAAGCCGTTTATCGGACGAAGCCTTCTTAAAATCCCACAGCTGTAACTAGGCATACTCTGAAATGATGCAGCTCTCTTTTTGTTCCAATGAAGGAAGCCAAATATCTCTTCCGGCTGTACATGGCATTGAAGCAGTACCGGGAAGCTGCTCGGACAGCCATCATCATCGCTCGAGAAGAGCAGTGCGCAGGTACGGCCTTTTGGGTGGGTTTATTTGTGGGCAGCAGACCTGACCAAAACGACACAGGAGATCCACATGTGAAAGAAGTGAGACACTGGGACATCGTCTTTCCACTGTTAAACTTAAAATGCATTAAAGGTGGAGTTTCTATTTCAGCGTCTCCTCTCCTGTTTATAAAGAGCGTTGGCTGTGATTTCCCTTGCTTTTATTCAAGGATGGGGGTGTCCAACCTTGTCAGCTTTAAGACTTGTGGACTTCAGCTCCCAGAATTCTTCAGGCAGCATGTGGATTTCAGCTCCCAGAATTTTTCAGGCAGCATGTGGATTTCAGCTTCCAGAATTCTTCAGGCTGCCTGTGGACTTCAGCTACCAGAATTGAAGTCCACAGGTCTTAAAGTTGACAAGGTTGGACACCCCAGCTCAAAGAGGTGTAACCTCTTTTTCTATGATAGTTTAACCTCAAAAATGCTCAGCACATCTCATTTAGAGAGTAAAGTAATTAAAAGATAAATCTATTTTTTTTACTATTAAGTTTTTACATACTGTGGGCGTTCCACCAACTTAAATTTAAGCCGGCTTTTTCCTTCTGCTGCTGGAATTTGACATTTTACATTCAATCACCCAGCTCAAGTGAACTTGTGGCTAAAGACTTTGTGGCTTTAATGTCTTGACAAATCAGTCACCAAGTTTTAATATTTCGCTTGACCTGAAAGCGTTTGAGAAGAGCCTAAATATTTTATTGAAATTTAATTGCTGATTTGTGTTTTTTTTTTCTTTTTTCTTTTAAAAAGGACACTATCGAAAAGCCCACGACGTTCTCTTCAGCATGTATTTGGAATTAAAAGCGCAGAAGATAAAAATACCCTCTGAGATGGCTGCCAACCTGATGATTCTACACAGTTACATTTTAGTGAAGGTAACTACTTGGATTATGTACATATTTAACACAGAAAGATGGGGGCAAAACTCACTGAGCAAATGTCTCACTTAGCGACAGAAAGCTTGGGCTCCGTTGTCGTCGTATCTCGAGGACTCTCTGTATCAGGACCTCAAACTGGAACAGGCCTGCCTATGTAATAACAACTCTCCTTTGCTTAAGATCTACATAGTACAATAAGTTGAAGGAGTAATCAACTCAAGGACTCGTAGCAAAGAAAATGACTCTAAAATTCTGTCAATAGCCATGAAGCTCAACAAATCCCGTAAAATGATAATCTGCTTTTTCATTCTTTGCTCTGGATGGCTTCTAAATATTACGAACAATGCTTAACTCACATGTGTGTTTCAGATTCATGTGAAACGGGGGGACCACATGAAAGGAGCACGTATGCTCATCCGTGTCGCTAACAATATCAGCAAGTTTCCTTCTCGTAAGTGTTACCCGAACCAGAAATCTCTCTCCTTTGAGGGATTCAGGGATATTTTTTTGAGCATTGCAGTTTTTGTGAAAATTGTTGTGTTGAGCTGCTTAATATGATTCCCATTCTGTCGTACTTGTTCAATTTCCTTGATAAGGTGATCAATTGTCTTCTAATCTCCTGTGAGATTTTATTTTATTGCTGGAAGCATAACAATTTACCACACAGGTTGAAGGGATTTTTCAAGTTCTCTAGACACTGTTATAAATAGATTAAGATTTAATTATTGCCTGCGTCTTGTAGAGCATAAAGGTCTTCAAACTTGGCCCTTTTATGACTGGTGGACTTCAACTCCCAGAATTCCTCAGCCAGGCACGCGTGCCTGGCTGAGGAATTCTGGGAGTTGAAGTCCACCAGTCATAAAAGGGCCAAGTTTGAAGACCCCCTGATGTAGAGATTGCCGAATCAATAAATTGATTGGTGATTGGAAATTATTCCCAATGTGCATTATCTATACCAGTGATGGCGAACCTTTTAGAGACCGAGTGCCCAAAAACTGGCCCTGCTCCACCCCTTGCCCCGCCCCTGCTCTGCCCCCCCCATCCCCCACCCCGCCTGCCCATAGGACCATTCACCACCTCCAGGGCCCGCCGCAGATTGCCCAGGCAGCCCAGCAGCGCTATGGAGGCCACACCCTCTGCCCGCGCCGTGCACCGTCAACTGTGCATGATGGGGTGTGAGGGCAGAGTCTTGTTTACGCTGCCTGGCTGACATGTCCTTGGCTGCGCTGCTCCACATGGGCTACACTCGGGGGCGACTCTCCTCCAGGGGGGCTGTTGGTGAGGAGGGGATCGTGGGGGGAGGCAAGGCTGGGGCAACGGCACGTGTGCCCACAAAGAGGGCTCCGAGTGCCACCTCTGGCACCCGTGCCATAGGTTTGCCACCACTGATCTATACACTTGTCTTAAATATCATCGCTGTGGTGTTATCTCTTTGACTCTCCTCTTTAGATGGTCTCTTGTTCAAATTCTGGGACGTTAAATTTTATCAGCAGCAACTCTGTGAAATCCAGAATGTTTCTTTGCAGGTTGATGTCTGTTGTTTTAACTTTCAGATATTGTGCCCATCCTGACCTCAACGGTAATTGAATGTCACAGGGCAGGGCTGAAAAAATCAGCTTTTAGTTTTGCTGCCATGCTGATGAGACCAGAATATCGGAATCAAATTGACCCTAAGTACAAAAGAAGAATTGAAACACTAGTCCGGTGAGCTTACGGTTATTTTGTCTAACCAAGGTTTGGGAACACACTGATGCATAACTGGACTCGTCAGACAGTCTTGACCGTGCTGATTGAATCCGTCATCTTGTGCATAATTACTTAGGAGTTAATCCCAGTGAATTTAGGGAAATTTACTTCTGGTAAATGGGCATAAAAGTGAAGGTTTTTTTGTTTTTTTGTTTTAAAGTAATACATAAATAAGATCAACAGGATGTTTTTGCGGGCGAGCATTACTGTGAACCAACACACCGGAAGTGGTGCCATAGAACAGAGGTCTCCAACCTTTTGGGCACCAGGGACCGGTTTTTTCACAGACCTGAGGGTGCCTGGTTTTGTGTGCTGCCTGCATCCCGCGGATGGGGCTTTGCTTGTTTGTGCGGCCCGATTGCTGGCATGCCTTGGCCCAGTACTGGTCCACAGACCGGGGGTTGGGGACCCCTGCCATAGAAAATCCCGCCAAATGTGAAGATGCCAAAGGAGTACCGCTAGTGAAGTTCAGGGCTCGTGGTTCAACCATCAGTCCAGATGTCCACTGTGAAACGTTACCAAAACTCAGACGAGCTGTCCATAACAAGTGTCGGGGCCTACTGACTTCCGGTGTGGTGTTGGTTCATGACAATGCTTGCCCGCACACTGCTAGACGCACCCGAGAACCTTTGAAGCCGTTCCGTTGGGATGTTTTTGATCAACCCCCTCCTGTAGCCCAGATTTGGCACCGAGCGACGACTACTAAGGAATTTCAAACCTTGTAAGACGTTACGACAAGTGCCTCGATTTTCTAATGTGTATAATAAAAATTCTGTATCTGTGAGGGTGTTCTGTCCCAGCCTACGTGAGTCCCTGTTATGCTCACAAGGAGAAACCCCTCTTCCAACAAGCAGGCTGGAACCGCAGGAAAAAACCAATCCCTTTTTATTATTCACAGACCTGAGTCAAAGTCCACAGTTCAGAGAAACTCGATCCTCAACACAAATGGCTGCCTTCAGCAACCAGCACCTCCCACACCTTCCCTTTTATTATGCAGCCAAGGTGTGGCTTCCTAATGCCTTCTCCTTTGCCTTTTGAGCTGCCCCATTGCATCTCTCTGTCCTACTCGCTTCTCTTGCCTACGCATTCGTGCATCCTGGATATCTCCCAGCTGTTCTTCAGCACTGTCCAACTCAGACTCCCAGCACAGCTGTGTCTCAGCCTGAGCGTGAGTAAAGCGGCCAGGCTCCTCATCCGACTATAACTCTTGGAGCTCCTCAAAGCCTTCCTCTGACTCTGATGTCACTCCATGCCCCTCCTCCTCCTCCTCCTCTGATTCCTCAAGACTCAGCTGCCGGGTCCACTGGCTGGCGAGGAATCACAACAGAGTGTCTGTCACAGATAACCAAGCAGAGGTTGATTTCTGAATGGCCCTCGTAGATCGGAGGGCCGAGAACCTTAACGAAGATCCTTGCAATGTGAGCAGAGCCTGGCTACTCCAGCACAATATATTTTTATGCAAAGAAAACAAACTTTGCAACTTTTGAGAAGTAAAAAAGTTGACCGGTTCTTAATGGGCTCCTTACATTTTGCTACCAGGCGGCCGGACACCTCCGAAGGGGAAGGGGAGGAGCCAACCACGCCCTGCCCGTATTGTGAATTCATGCTCCCCGAATGTGAACTTCTGTGCCCGGGCTGCAAGAACAACCTCCCGTATTGCATTGCGACGGTGAGTACGTAACTATGAGCAACTCAAGAGATCGGGACTCGGCTTTTTCGTCTTTCGGCTCCTGAAGCGAAGCCTCCGAGTGCAACTACAGGCAGGTCCTCGACTTACAAGAGTTCTTTTAGTGACCGTTCAAAGTTAACAATGGCACTGAAAAAAAAGGGACGCGTGGCCGTTTCTCCCGCTTAACAACCGTTGCAGCAGTCCCGCGATTTACATGCGGGATGCTTGACAACTGGCTCGCGTTTATGACGGTCGCAGCATCCCGGGCTCACCCGATCCCCTTTTCGCGACCTTCTGCCAAGCAAAGGTCAAAGGGGAAGTCAGATGGACTTCACAAGGGTTGTTCCTAACTTTTAACAATTTTAACAATTGTGCTCAGTTGTGGTTGTAAGCTGAGGACTGTCTATATGTTGCATTTTGAAACTTAGCTCTCAAGATATAGAATCTCGATTTTTGCGCTTCCGCAGGGCTCCGTGTCACATTGAGATTTGCTTCCCTGTATATTAATTAATACAATTAATTCCAAGCAAGGTGTCAACGCTGCTAACATCGGATGTTTTTGCATTGACAACGGATGGCGATGCAGCCATTTTCTTCTTCTTGCTTTTAGAGTCAGATAATGCTGGGAGGTGGGAGGAATGTGCATGAGATTCTAGCTAGACATAATAACACTGAACCTAGTGTGAGAACCAAGGTTATTGAAATAAGAGATGATAAAGAATTGGCGGGCTGGAGAGCTGGAGGAAGGGAATGTGATTTATGACTGTTAACGAGGAGGGAATTGTCCTTTGATACTAGGTGCCAGTCTAAAACCTGACTTGTCCCCCCCCCCATGCAATTCTTCCAGGGACGACACATGGCCAGAGACGACTGGACGCTGTGCCCCCGTTGCGAGTTTCCTGCACTCTATTCCGATTTCAAAAAGTAAGTTGTCATCTTTTTAAAATTCTCAGATGACTTACCTGCGAAGGATGTTTTCTGTTGCAGCGGCCTGCAACAAAATTCTGATTTCTGCCCAATCGAAATTAATCCTGCTTATTTCTCTGTGGCTGTTGACCATCTGCCGTTCTCCTTTTCACATACTTTTTTTTTTATCGCTTTCCTCTGCCTAAATCATTTTATTTCGGCTAACAGCAGCCAAAGAGAAGTTTGTTGCTGCCTTTTGTGTTTGGAGGACCATGATCAATCTTCGCCAGAAGCTCCATGGCAAAAAATGCCCCATTGGTTGTATTAGGACTGATCTGACAGCATATATATACAGCTGTGTTTGAGATTTTTTTAATTAAGTCATGGTTGATTGTTGTTGTTAGTTGCGAAGTCGTGTCTGACCCATCGCAACCCCATGGACAACGTTCCTCCAGGCCTTCCTGTCCTCGAACATCTTCTGGAGTCCATTTAAGTTCACGCCTCCTGCTTCAGTGACTCCATCCAGCCACCTCATTCTCTGTCGTCCCCTTCTTCTCTTGCCCTCCATCTTTCCCAGCATTAGGCTCTTCTCCAGTGAGTCCTTCCTTCTCATTAGGTGGCCAAAGGACTTGAGTGTTGAGTTTCAACTTCAGGATCTGGCCTTCTCAAGAGCAGTCAGGGTTGATCTCCTCTAGGACTGACCGGTTGGATCGCCTTGCAGTCCAGGGGACTCGCAGGAGCCTTCTCCAGCACCATAGTTCAAAGGCCTCCATTCTTTGGCGCTCAGCCTTTCTTATGGTCCAACTTTCACAGCCATACATTGCAACTGGGAGAACCATGGCCTTCACTATACACACTTTTGTTGGCAGGGTGACGTCTCTGCTTTTTAGTATGCTGTCTAGATTTGCCATAGCTTTCCTCCCCAGGAGCAAGCGTCTTTTAATTTCTTGGCTGCAGTCCCCATCTGCGGTGATTTTGATTAGGATCACATAATAAAATAATTTCCAGCTAGGAAATATCACTCTTGACTTTAAACTAGTTTGCCCAGGCAAATAACCATGTAGTCCTCTTACATTTTGCTGGAACATTATTTTACTTGAGTCTCTGGGATAATGTCTGCTACCAGCTGAGAAGTAATACTTTTAGAAATATTGTATATTTGCAGATAAATTTAACTGGAAAAAGCCTTCTTTCAGACCTCAATCTACCACACTTTTTAAGATGTTGAAATGAGCAAACCTTTGCTATACTTTTTTTCACAAATGACGTAACGATCAGAAATAAACCTAGAGTTTGTGTGTATGTGTGTGTGTGTGTACATACACACACACATAGAGAGATGTCTGATCTTGTCTGTGAATCTCTCAGGACATTTCCAATGTTGTTTTAGACAGTACGCTACCCAAATTATTGTACGGCCTGCCAAAATATTATATGGTAGGTCAAATTAGTGACTAAGTACATTAGATTCTCCTTCTGTTTGACTTTCTGCCAGTCCTCCCTCTATATTTGGAAGATGTCTAGTTTGTTGGAACACGGATGTTAATATTTAGGGACACGTAGCCTATGGTTTTTGTGATTAAAAATAATAACACTGTAGACCTGTACGCTGCCAATATTATTCCTTTCTATCAACTGCTTGGAGAAACATCAAACATCATCCATTTGAAGGCGTTGAAGCGAATCACTGATGGAGAGACCGAGTAAAAGCGAAGACACTAATATAATGTTTTGCAACCTGTAGATGATGCTGAGCATGGAAGGTTGTGAACGTGTGTTCTTTTCAATAGTTTGTTGCAGAGCGAAAGCGTGTGTCCCATGTGTTCGGAAAAAGTCGATGCCACCGGCCTAAAAAGAACAGCGGATTGCACACCGTACCTCAAGTCTGAAGTAGAGCCGTAATTTTGATCAAGTTAAGTGGCTCAGTCTTGGTTTTCATGTTTAAAATGAATGTTTTTAAATGTTTTAATGTTTAAAACTCAGAATATTAAAGAACGTTCATTTGTTTACGACTAAAATAGTTTAACTGGCCTACTCGCTCGTGCGCCCGCATCTCCCTACACGTACCCCCCCGAATTTGCTTCTTCCCCGCAACAGAGCTGCTTTCGCTTGCTTTCCACGATGCGTTGGGTACGTGGAAGGACATGGGTTGTGTGCTGGGCCATTGATTTTCCTCTGCTTGACATCTGCAAAGGGGGGGGGGCCCTTGGGCCAATGCATTGGTACTGATGGGAGTATTGATATACTGGCCTTTGAGTATTGATGCCAACACCAAGACTTGGCATTTTAGACTACTGTTCTACATGGGGCCACCCTTGAAAAGCATTCCAGTTGGATCAAAAGGCAGCGGGCCATGTGGTTTTGTGCAGACCTCAGTGTGCACATGTATTGCCTCTCCTGCGGGAGCTGCATTGGTTAATAATAATATAATAATAATAATAATAATGATGATGATGATGATGCTACAAAAAACTGCGCTACTTGGATTTTACATCTTACATTTTAAGGAGGTACCTGGTTGACACCTAGGATGCTGGCAGAAACCCGTGTCAACCATCAGCGCCAGCCAATTCGAATGTTCAGTTGATTGAGGTTCACGGCTAATGAATAATAATAATAAAGTTGGAAAGGACCTTGGGGGTCATCTAGTCCAACCCCCTGCTCAGGCAGGAAACCCTATACCATTTCAGACAAATGGCTGTCCAGTCTCTTCTTAAAAACTTCCAGTGTTGGAGCATTCACCGCTTCTGGAGGCAGGCTGTTCCACTGGTTAATTGTTCTTACTGTCAGGAAGTTTCTCCTTAGTTCTAGGATGCTTCTCTCTTTGGTTAGTTTCCACCTGTCGCTTCTTGTCCTGCCTTCAGGCGCTTTGGAGAATAGCTTGACTCCCTCTTCTTTGGGGCAGCCCCTGAGATACTGGAACACTGCTATCACGTCACCCCTCATCCTTGATTGATGATTGCTTCCGGGTGCAATTCAAGGTATGGGCTGTCACCTTATCCGACGGACCATCTGTTGCCGGCCACATCCACCCGGCCCACTAGAGCAGGGAGGCAAGGAATGTTGCGGGTCCCATCCCCTAAGGACGCACATCTGGCAGGACCCAGCAGAAGGGCCTTCTGTGTGGTGGCTCCTTCCCTTTGAAATATCATCCCTTCAGAAATTAAACCGACAATCTTTCATAACGCCCTGAAGAGGTGTTTTTTTTTTTGCTTGCCAGTGGGCCTGGGGAACCCAGAATGGGATGGAGCCCATTGAATGGGAGAGGTGTATGTGTGTGTCTTGTATTATTTTTTATTTTTATTTTATTTTCTGTACTGTGTTTTTATTGCTTGTAAGCCACCTGGAGTCTCTGTGAGCGAGTAGGTGGCTGTATAAATTTTCTAAATAAATAAAAATATATAAACTGTATTAATACCACTTTACAAGGCCTTGGTAAGGCCATTCTTGGAATCCTGCATCCAGTTTGGGTCACCATGATGTAAAAAAGATGCTGAGACTCTAGAAAGAGTGCAGAGAAGAGCAACAAAGATGATTAGGGGACTGGAGGCTAAAACATATGAAGAACGGTTGATGGAATTGGGTATGTCTAGTTTAACGAAGAGAAGGATGAGGGGGGACAGGATAGCAGTCTTCCAGTATCTCAGGGGCTGCCCCAAAGAAGAGGGAGTCAAGCTATTCTCCAAAGCGCCTGAAGGCAGGACAAGAAGCAACGGATGGAAACTACCAAGGAGAGAAGCAACCTAGAACTAAGGAGAAACTTCCTGACAGTTAGAACAATTAACCAGTGGAACAACCTGCCTCCAGAAGCGGTGAATGCTCCAACACTGGAAGTTTTTAAGAAGAGATTAGACAACCATTTATCTGAACTGGCATAGAGTCTCCTGTTTGAGTAGGGGGTTGGACTAGATGACCTCCAAAGTCCCTTTCAACTGTTATTCTATTCTATTCTGTTCTTGTTCATGATTCTATTCTATTCTTCATTTCTCTACTCTACTCTATTCCATTCCATATTTTGTATTCTATTCTATTCTATTCTATTCTATTCTATTCTATTCTATTCTATTCTTCTATTCTATTCTATTCTATTCTATTCTATTCTATTCTATTCTTCTATTCTATTCTATTCTATTCCTCCGTTCCATTATTCCATTCCATTCCATTCCATTCCACTCTACTCCATCCCATCCCATCCCATCCCTGTTGTGGGATGAATGCGGTGAATGCGTCAACACTGGAAGTTTTTAAGAAGAGACTGGACAGCCATTTGTCTGAAATGGTCTAGGGTTTCCTGCCTGAGCAGGGGGTTGGACTAGATGACCTCCAAGGTCCCTTCCAACTTTACTATTATTATTATTATTATTATTATTATTATTATTATTATTATTATTATTATTATTTATTACTATTACTATGGCCGTGACCCTTCATCAACCATGCTGGCTGAGGAATTCTGGGAAATGATGTCCACCCATCTTAAAAGTCGCCAAGGTTGAAAAACGGGGCGCTGCGGTTTTGTTCCCAGCTCAGTTCCAGCTTTGCTGCCGTTTTCCAAAAATTCTCCCAAGTGTCCCTCAGTCCCACAAGCGACGGCTGCAGAGATCAACTTCCAAGCAGATAAATATAAGGCAATTTCCATTGAGGGGCAAGGCATTTTTTTAAAAAAAAAAAAAAAAATATTGTTAAAAATATGAAACTAGTTTTATTGCAACTTTTACACAGTGCTGCACTTTCATATACAAAAACAAAGAACCGACCTAGGCTTTGTTCCTTTATATGGTATATACACGGTTAGTAACATAATGAGCATTTTTAAAAAAAATAGAGGAGCTTTGCGAAGGGTTAGGGTCTTAGCAGCTTGGGCTCTTTTTCTCCCAGAAAGCCGAGTCTCTCTCAGTATTTACAGGAATCAAACAATATAGATTCTATTTGCCTCTTTTTCTGCAATATATATATATGTATATGTATATATATATATATATATTGCAAACTCTTGGGCAGAGTCTGCCCAACCATTTACCGTGTCCACAGTCCAACAGTAAAGCTTGCATAGACAATTTATTTAGCTTTTTTTCTTTGATTTTCCTTTTTTCTTCTCTTCCTTTCTTTCTGTTTTTGGTGGCTTGGCAGTTTTGGTCTTTTTCTGAAAAAAAAGAAGAATATACATTTTAAAATGCCAACTGAATCCCAGTGTGCCTAGCCGCTCACTAATTCACTTTTCAGTTGCAAACTGTTCCACGTATTTAGAAGCACTAAAAAAATAACAAAACCCAAAGAACACCTTAATACACGTGTAACTCGTCCCAACAACTAGCAAATCATAGGGCATGAAAGTAAAAATACAAGCAAAATAGGGTGGGGGGGAGAGAACAAGAGGAAAAAGGGAGGAAAAAAAAAATAAACTATGACTTAATCCAGAACTAAAAAATCTATTCAAAAACATTCAGTCTTTAAATCAACCTTAAAGAAAGATTTCTCTGCTACGCAGCTGGAACCTGGAAGAACGGTCGCAAGGATTTGAACCCTTTGTTCAGCACCGTTGTTAAGTTTGGACCATCTCTGAGCACGTGGTCGTTAACTGAGGATCGCCCGTGAATTTGCGTATTTAAATGCGGCGTGGGAGGGAGGGGTACCTTAATCATCGCATCGCTTTCGAGGCTTCCTTGCTCGGTTTCGGCCTCGGCCTTGTTAGATTCCAGCTCTTCGTTCAGGTCCGCATCCACCGACCCCACTCGCCTCGTCTTCGGTGCCATTTGCAAGGAGTAGGGGGTAAGGTGTGCGACTTTATTGTAGGCCCGGGTGAACGCCGATTTCACCTGTCGGGGCAAAAAAACCCCAACGGAGACTTTTTAAGCGTCAGGTTCCATTTTTTTTAGCTCGGCAGTTACTGATGGGATACAAACGGCGTTGCACCCACTCCTCGTTTAGCAAGTAACTGCCTCAGTTAGTTAGCGATCGTTTGCAAATACAACAGTAATACATTCATTTACTGACTAAGGAGCACATTTCCTTTTGCACTTGACAATGCACATCGGCGTAATACTGATGTAGAGGATGGAGGGACTTTTATCTGAATGGGACAGCAGGAACTATCTATCATCTATCTATCTATCTATCTATCTATCTATCATCTATGTATCTATCTATGTATCTATGTATCTATCTATCTATCTATCTACAGTATGTCTCTATGATCTATCTATCACCTATATCTCTCTATGTATCTATCTCTCTAACATCTATCTACATCTATATATCCATCCATCCATTTATCTATCTACATTATCTAATTATCATCTCTCTCATCTATCTCATCAATCTATCTATCTATCTATCTATCTATCTATCTATCTATCTATCTATCTATCTATCTATCTATCTATCTATCTATCTATCTATCTACATCTGTCTATATCATCTAATTATCTTACATCTCTATCTGTATCTATCTTACATCTATCTACCTATCTCTATATATCCATCCATCCATCCATCTACATCTATCTATATCATCTAATTATCATCTCTCTATATCTATCTATCTATCTATCTATCTATCTATCTATCTATCTATCTATCTATCTATCTATCTATCTATCTATCTATCATCTACCTACCTACCTACCTACCTACCTACCAACCATCTATCTCTGTTATGTGTTCAATAAGTCTATGGGAAACAATCTTGCACATTATCTGAAATTTCTCCGTGGAAAGTCTACCAGCACTAGGTAAACGCTTACAAAATATGACATTTTTCAACCTTTGCCAATAACATGCAAACAAAAGAGAATGGCAAGTATTTTCCATACTAAACCCCTCTCACGTGAAGTAAAAGACCCCAATAAGCTTAACATCTTCCCCAATAGATGCAGTTTTCATGATGGCGCTCTTGAGATTATTTCCTAAAGTTTGGAAACTGGAGGGGGAGGTTTAATACACTGGAAGCAGAGAGTGTCCAGCCTGTTTTTTTCTGAAGAAAAAAGCTGGATTTTTCAGACAGGAGGCAGAAAAGGAAATCCCGTCAAAAGAGAATATCTTCCAAGTCAAAACATGAAGATTTCCAAGACCCTCAAACAGCTCCTGTCATGATAGGGCTATGCCATACAGCCAAACCACCCCCCAAATAAAATCTAGCTAGTTTTATCTTTTTTTGGCTGTTGTTTACCTGCAAGAGCCACCTCAGCTGACTGCTACCGTCAAAGAATCGTCATTTTAACACCTACCTGGTTCCACTACCAAAGCAGCTGGTTGGAGAATCGATAAAACCCATATTCTGATCTCCTTTAGACCAGGGGTCTTCAAACTTGGCCCTTTGATGACTTGTGGACTCCAACTCCCAGAATTCCTCAGCCAGGCACGCTGGCTGAGGAATTCTGGGAGTTGAAGTCCACAAGTCATCAAAGGGCCAAGTTTGAAGACCCCTGTCTTAAATCTAACAAACAAAATGGAGGCTGGCTGAGGAATTCTGGGAGTTGAAGGCCACAAGNGTTGGAGTCCACAAGTCATCAAAGGGTCAAGTTTGAAGACCCCTGCCTTGGACTGACAAGTTCAGTGTTCTTTTTTGCAAGCCCTTTTGCTACTATTATGGTGACTAAAAGACGTAACATGCAAGGCAGAAAAATCACAGTTCTGCATCTTAGCAATTTGCCATGATTGCCACGATAGCCTGGGTTTCAAGATCTCTCTGTGTGTGTGTGTGTGTGTGTGTGTGTGTGTGTGTGTGTGTGTGTTTAGTCGACTGTATCCCCTTGGGAGCGGGTTACGCATTTTTGAAATGGATTAACGGTTCTTTCTCAAAGTTCTTCCTTCAAGAAGCTCAGCCAATAATCGGGCAGGAATAATGGATCACTTGCCTTGGGATCCAAACTGGAAAACGGGCTGGGTTTCCCGGCCCAGCTGGTGACCTCCATGAGGTTTTCCACATCTTCCCTCAACAAGCAGTAAGAATCCATGAAGGCGACAGCGTCCCGGACCCCTTCCGAGCCTTGGCAGGTCAACGGTCGCACAACGGCGTCGCGCAGATAGGATAGATAGTCCAGGTTTACTGCCCTCTTACTCGCGTGTGTTCTGCGGGGAGGGGAAAAAAATATTACTTAGCGGAAGCTGGAATGGGTTACCAGACTTTGCCCTGTGCGCCATACGACTCCCAACTCTGGAGAACGTACAACAGAACCGATAAAATAGGAAGACGACAATTATGGGATTTTTTTTTTAATCCTTTGTGGTGGACGTGTGATAAAGCAAAGAAATATTGGAGTAGGATTCGTATTTTAATGCAGAAAACCCTTAAAGCGAATATGAAGATTCAACCAGAAACTTTCTTTCTGGGTCTAATGGAAAAAGACCTGGGGGGAGGAAATAAATTTGGAACTCTGATTTTATATATTTTGACGGCAGCAAGGCTGCTCTACGCCCAAAAACGGAAGGATGTTTTGATTCCCGCCCTGGACGAACGGCTGAAAAAGTTGATGGGATGAGCAGAGCGGGCTAAACTGGCTGTTTTGATAAAAGAAACAAACATAAGTACTTTAGTTTCTACTTGGAAACCGCTTCTGGACTTTATGCTTGAGGTGGGAGGGGAAAAAAGGATACTTTGATTTGGGGTTTTACTGATTAGATTGATTTGTTGATATAGAAATGGCTAGTTCAGCCTATTACAGAAATGTAAAAAGTTGAGGTTGGATGTTAATGCCTTATTCGACTGCAACAGAGAGAGTCAGAAGTCAACGCTGTTTTTTTCTCTCCCCCCCCCCTTTATTCCAAACTTCTCTTTTTCCCCCCTACCTTTATTCCCCAATATTTGCTTTTGTATTTTATGTTATAACTGAATAAAAAATTAAAATAAAAAAAAGAAAGGATAAGACTAAGGAATACGACAATTATGAAAAAAAAAATGACAGGAAAGGACAGCAGGTCCGGCTAACCCAGGGGTAAGCAACCTCGGCTCTTTTGACTCATGGACTTCAACTCCCAGAATTCCTGAGTCAGCATAGCATAGCTGACTCAGGAATTCTGGGAGTTGAAGTCCACGAGTCATATAATTATTCTGCGCATGCCCGAAAAGATGGCGGACGTCCGCAGGTAGCTCCGCAGCAGCGGAGACCGAAAATGGGCAGAGGGGAGCCTTGGAGGCTCTCGGAGGTCCGGAGACCCGTCCCCAGGCAGATTCTCCCCCGGTGAGCTCCCCGGGACTGGACTTGGGATGCGAGGTGACGCGGGGACGCGGAACTGACCGGGTAGGTGGTTTCGTCGGCCTTCCCGGTCTTTCTGTCCTCGGCGGCTTCGCTGGCGGCTTCTCTGGCGGCCCTCTGGGTGGACCGCTCGGCCTCGGAGGCATCTTGGGCGGCCGCGGCGGCCTGGGTGGCCTTTTCTGGGCGGCCCTTTTGGCCTCGGAGACATCTTTGGCGGCCTCTCTTGGCCTCGGAGGCATCTTGGCATCTTTGGCGGCCTCGGCGGCCCTTCCAGCGGCCCTTTTGGCGGTCCGCTCGGACTTGGTGGCCTCTCCGGCGGCCTCGGCGGCCTCTCTGGGAACCTTGCCGGCGGCCTCGGCGGCCCCTCCAACGGCCCTTCCGGTGGCCTCGGCGGCCTTCTGATGGCTTTTCCAGCAGCCTCGGTGACCTCGGCGGCCTCTCCAGCGGCCTTTCCGGCGTTATCGGCGGCCTCGATGGCCTCTTCAGCGGCCCTTTTGGCGGCTCTTTCTGCCCTCTTGGCCTTGGTGGTCCTGGCGGCTTTTTGTGGCGGCCTTGGCGGCCCTCCTGGTGGCCCTTTAGGCGGCCCTCCCGGCCCTCCCTCTACGGTGGCTCCGATGGCCTTTCCAGCGGCCTTGGCGGCCTTTGTGGCGGCCTCTCAGGTGGCCCTCTCGGCGGCCTTTTCGGCCGTTCCGGTTTCGGCGGCTTTGGTGGCTTCTTCGGCGGCCTCTTCGGCGGCCTTGGAGCCTTCCCAGCGGCCTTGGCGGCCTCAGCGGCCTTTCCAGCGGCCTCGGCCGGGTGAGGATTTGGGGCCTGGACTTGGACTTGGCCCGCCCCGGCCTAGAGGACCCGGCCTAGAGGACTGTCTGTCGAGGACTGTTCCCTTTCGGCCCTGGTTTAGAAGACCTGAGGACTGCTAAATAACATCCTCCCTTCTGTTCCATGGACTCCCTTTGCCGGACTTATGTACCCTAAGACGGTCCTGCTGGCCTTGCGCGATTCACCCCTCGCGCAGGCCTGGCCCAGTAACATCTCTAGGGCCTACCTCGAGGATGGGGTGTGGAACCCCGAGAGGTGGCATGCAGCGGTTACCAACAAGAAATTATTTAAATTGTTTAAATTGAGAGCTTTTCTACAGGGGTGTTTTAATAAATTTTTAGGGGGAACCAGGGTGGTTGGGAGGGGGGAGGTTCCCCTTAGGTCAGGACCAGCCATGTCTGGGGGCTGCGGTGTAGAAAGGGTGGGGGGG